TGGTGCATAAAAACGCACCAAGTAGGCACCAGGGTGCAGAAAAACGCACCAGGAGGGCACCAGGGTGCGAAAAACGCACCAGGTAGGCACCATGGTGCAGAAAAACGCACCAGGTAGGCACCATGGTGCAGAAAAACGCACCAGGAGGGCACCAGGGTGCAGAAAAACGCACCAGGAGGGCACCATGGTGCATAAAAACGCACCAAGTAGGCACCAGGGTGCATAAAAACGCACCAGGAGGGCACCAGGGTGCGAAAAACGCACCAGGTAGGCACCATGGTGCATAAAAACGCACCAGGAGGGCACCATGGTGCATAAAAACGCACCAGGAGGGCACCAGGGTGCGAAAAACGCACCAGGAGGGCACCATGGTGCATAAAAACGCACCAGGAGGGCACCAGGGTGCATAAAAACGCACCAGGAGGGCACCATGGTGCATAAAAACGCACCAGGAGGGCACCAGGGTGCGAAAAACGCACCAGGAGGGCACCATGGTGCATAAAAACGCACCAGGAGGGCACCAGGGTGCATAAAAACGCACCAGGAGGGCACCAGGGTGCATAAAAACGCACCAGGAGGGCACCAGGGTGCGAAAAACGCACCAGGAGGGCACCATGGTGCATAAAAACGCACCAAGTAGGCACCAGGGTGCATAAAAACGCACCAGGAGGGCACCAGGGTGCATAAAAACGCACCAGGAGGGCACCAGGGTGCGAAAAACGCACCAAGAGGGCACCATGGTGCGAAAAACGCACCAAGAGGGCACCATGGTGCATAAAAACGCACCAGGAGGGCACCAGGGTGCATAAAAACGCACCAGGAGGGCACCAGGGTGCATAAAAACGCACCAGGAGGGCACCAGGGTGCGAAAAACGCACCAGGAGGGCACCATGGTGCATAAAAACGCACCAAGTAGGCACCAGGGTGCATAAAAACGCACCAGGAGGGCACCAGGGTGCATAAAAACGCACCAGGAGGGCACCAGGGTGCATAAAAACGCACCAGGAGGGCACCAGGGTGCGAAAAACGCACCAAGAGGGCACCATGGTGCATAAAAACGCACCAAGAGGGCACCATGGTGCGAAAAACGCACCAAGAGGGCACCATGGTGCATAAAAACGCACCAAGAGGGCACCAGGGTGCGAAAAACGCACCAGGAGGGCACCATGGTGCATAAAAACGCACCAGGAGGGCACCATGGTGCATAAAAACGCACCAGGAGGGCACCATGGTGCATAAAAACGCACCAGGAGGGCACCATGGTGCATAAAAACGCACCAAGTAGGCACCAGGGTGCAGAAAAACGCACCAGGAGGGCACCAGGGTGCGAAAAACGCACCAGGTAGGCACCATGGTGCAGAAAAACGCACCAGGTAGGCACCATGGTGCAGAAAAACGCACCAGGAGGGCACCAGGGTGCAGAAAAACGCACCAGGAGGGCACCATGGTGCATAAAAACGCACCAAGTAGGCACCAGGGTGCATAAAAACGCACCAGGAGGGCACCAGGGTGCGAAAAACGCACCAGGTAGGCACCATGGTGCATAAAAACGCACCAGGAGGGCACCATGGTGCATAAAAACGCACCAGGAGGGCACCAGGGTGCGAAAAACGCACCAGGAGGGCACCATGGTGCATAAAAACGCACCAGGAGGGCACCAGGGTGCATAAAAACGCACCAGGAGGGCACCATGGTGCATAAAAACGCACCAGGAGGGCACCAGGGTGCGAAAAACGCACCAGGAGGGCACCATGGTGCATAAAAACGCACCAGGAGGGCACCAGGGTGCATAAAAACGCACCAGGAGGGCACCAGGGTGCATAAAAACGCACCAGGAGGGCACCAGGGTGCGAAAAACGCACCAGGAGGGCACCATGGTGCATAAAAACGCACCAAGTAGGCACCAGGGTGCATAAAAACGCACCAGGAGGGCACCAGGGTGCATAAAAACGCACCAGGAGGGCACCAGGGTGCGAAAAACGCACCAAGAGGGCACCATGGTGCATAAAAACGCACCAAGAGGGCACCATGGTGCGAAAAACGCACCAAGAGGGCACCATGGTGCGAAAAACGCACCAAGAGGGCACCATGGTGCATAAAAACGCACCATGAGGGCACCAGGGTGCGAAAAACGCACCAGGAGGGCACCATGGTGCATAAAAACGCACCAGGAGGGCACCATGGTGCATAAAAACGCACCAGGAGGGCACCATGGTGCATAAAAACGCACCAAGTAGGCACCAGGGTGCATAAAAACGCACCAGGAGGGCACCAGGGTGCATAAAAACGCACCAGGAGGGCACCAGGGTGCGAAAAACGCACCAAGTAGGCACCATGGTGCATAAAAACGCACCAGGAGGGCACCAGGGTGCATAAAAACGCACCAGGAGGGCACCAGGGTGCATAAAAACGCACCAGGAGGGCACCAGGGTGCATAAAAACGCACCAGGTAGGCACCAGGGTGGGCATGAAGAGGCACCATGATGGGCACCAAGAGGCA